CAAAGAGCACAGCCTTCGGTATGGATTACATCTCAATGTAAAGAAAACAAAAATCCTCACCACTGGACCAATAAACAACATTCTTATCAACAGAGAAAACATTGCAGCTGTCAAAGACTTCATTTTGCTTTGATCTACAATCAACACTCATGGAAGCAGCAGTCAAGAAATCAAATGACATATTGCATTAGGCTAATCTGCTGTACAAGACCTTTTTTAAAGTTGAAGAGCAAAGATGTCAGCTTGAGGACTAAGGTGCACCTCACCCAAACCATGGTATTTTCAATAACCTCATATGCATGCGAAAGCTGAACAGTGAATAAGGAAGACAGTAGAAGAATTGATGCTTTTGAGTTATGGTGTTGGACAAGAATGTTGAAAGTGCCATGGGCTGCCAAAAGAACCAATAGATCCGTTTTGAAAGAAGTGCAGTCAGAGTGCTCTTTGGAGACCAAGATAGCCGAATTTAGTCTCTCATACTTCGGACATATTGTCAGGAGGGACCAGTTACTGGAGAAGGATATCATGTTTGGTAAGGTGGAAGGTCAGAGAAAAAGAGGAAGATCCCCCAATGAGATGGATTGGCCAAGTGGCAGCATCGATGGACTCAAGCATGGCAACAGTAGTGAGGTTGGCCCAGGATTGGGCAGTGTTTCATTCTGTTGTGCATAATGTCACTCACTATGAGTCGGTACCGACTCGATGGCACCTAACAATAACAAATGAAGAATGGGTATTCCAGAACACTTGATTGTGCCCATGCAGAACCTTTGCATAGACTAAGAAGCAGTCACTCCAACAGAACAAAAGGATAGTGAATGGTTTAAAATCAGGAAATACGTGCACCAGGGCTGTATTCTTCCACCATACTTACTCATTCTGTACATTGATCAAATAATCTGAGAAACTGGATTATATGAAAAAGAACATAACATCAGGATTGGAGGAAGATTCATTAACAACCTGTGGTATGCAGATGATACAACTTTGCTTGTTGAAAGTGAAAAGGACTTAAAATACTTACTGAGGAAGATCGAAGACCACAACCTTTAGTATGGGTTATTCCTCAATGTAAAGAAAACAAAAATCCTCACCATTGGACTAATAAATAACATCATGATAATAGGGAAACCATTGCAGCTGTCAAAGACTTCATTTTGCTTTGATCTACAATCAACACTAATGGAAGCAGCAGTCAAGAAATCAACTGATATATTGCTTTAGGCAAACAGCTACACAAGACCTCTTCAAAGTGTTAAAAAGCAAAGATACCAGTTTGAGGACTAAGATGTGCCTGATTCAAGCCATGGTATTTTTAGTGGGTTTATATGTATGTAAAAGTTGACTAGTGAATAAGGAAGATCATAGAAGAACTGGAGCATTTGAGTTATGGTGTTGGAGGAGAATATTAAAAGTTGCATGGACTATAAGAACACCCAGACTTGCAGATAGTACCCATTTGACCTGGCCTTGATGGTTTGATAATCAGAACTCGACTAGAGGGAAAAAAAATTTTTTTGATAAAGGAAACAAGGGTAAATTGCTATGGTTTGATGAACTTGACCTATACTCATGGATGTAGCAGCTCAAAATATCAATAGAGAGGGAAGGAGTCTTCACATCAAGTATCAATGCTATCCCCTCTGTATACAGGGTAGATAGGGACAGGCAACTTAGACATTGTTGTTGTTGTTGTTAAGTGCCATCGAGTCGGGTCCGACCCATAGCGACCCTGTACAGGGTTTCCGAGGGTGTGCTACCTAAAATAAGGGGACGATAAAAGCACGAAGTAAGTGGCTTACAAATTTTCAAGAGGGAGTATAGTTTAAGAATGTGAAGGGGAAGATAGAGTCCCCACTGAATAGTTTTCATCTTGCCTAGGCAGGTCTGGTGAAAAGAGATGGGGATAAGATTCTTATGATTCAAAACTGAGTGTTATCCTGACTAATTGTGACTGTCACAATTGTAAAGGTAGAAGTTTTGTAACAAAAATGGGAGAGGAGTTAATCTTACAGTCCAAAAACAGAGGACCCTAGGACCATCAAGGGAGAAGAGCACAAGCTGAATGCGGGACCCTATACAGAGAAGCAGCGAGAACAGAGATGGAGGCAGAGATGGGGACATGGAGAGAGGAAACAGCTGAGGAGTCTTCCTCCAATCCTGATGCCACATTTTTCTTCATAGAACCCAGCTTCTCAGATGATTTTCTCAGCATACAGGTTGAATAAGTATGGTGAAAGAGTACAACCTTGTCGCACACCTTTCTTAATTTTGAAACATTCAGTGTTCCCATGTTCTGTTTGAACAACTGCCTAGTGTAGTGGTTACAAATCGGGCTGTGAACCGCAAGGTCAGCAGTTCTAAACTACCAGCTATTCCAAAGGAGAAAGATGAGGCTTTCTGCTCCCGTAAAGATTTACAGCCTCGGAAACCCTGTACAGGGTCGCTATGAGTAGGAACCGACTCCACGGCACATCACAACAACAACAACAACAAGTAAATAAAAGACATTAATCTTACATAATTGGTGGGCCCTGTCAGTACCTGAACAATAACCCCAGAACAGTTAACTCTGAGGCATATATCGTAGTAGAACTAATAGACTTTAAAGATAAGAACTCTGGAAATCCAAGCCAAAAAGAGCAAGTAGTTGAGGGGGAAGGCCAGACAGGTATTAAGCTTTTCAACTTTTCAATAGCAACATACAAAGCAAAACAAAAATAAAGCAACATTTCAAAAACCTTTAAAAAAGTGAGATTGAAAGTTGGACCATCACAGGATAAGACAGGCAGGTAGGGACTTGACTTTGCAGGGCCTCATCAGCCACAATGAGGAGCTTGTATTTCATTCTAAGAGTGATGGGAAGCCATCTATTACAGAATCTCTGAATATTAGAATGAAAGCAGAGAGGATACCGCAGAGCATGTGATGATGGCAGGTCTCTCTAAAGCAGGGCAAAGGAATGAAGACAGGGCTATGGGTGCATTTGGGAATTCAAATAGACAGCACTTCTGGGTGGTTCCTATATATGGTGTAAGGGAGAGTGAGAAAACACAGATGACATCTAGATGCTTGACTTGAGCAACTGAGTAAATAGTGGCCCCATTTACTGAGATGGGCAAAACTAGGCTAAAAGTAGACTTGAGGAAATTAAGTCAGACATTCTCCATGGCCTTGTGCCCAGACTTGAGACAAAGAAAGCTCAGTGAGTGTGCTAAACCAAAATACACTAATTTGTTCTGTGAAGTCAAGTCTAGGTCTGTTTCCTACTGCCTTTGAGACCCTCACTCAGATGTAGTCCCATCGCTCTTCTTTCCTCTCTAATGTCTTCTTCCTTGTCTTGGCAGCTGTACAGGACCTGGTCGGAATGCAGATGTAACCAGGGTGCACCCAGACCCCCAAGGGATGAGGCGGCGACCCAATCAAGGGTCACAAGTAGGCCAGGTGTTTTACAACAGCGAGTATGGGAAGCTATCGGAGCCTCATGAGGAGGAAGACTGTGCCCCGTTGGCCTGTGCGCCCTTCTTCACAGACAACAGCTACTAAGGCAGTACTGGGCAAGGCCCCTACCCCTGGCTGGGCCGCTACCCCTGGTGGGGGGGTGCCATGCTTGGCAGGGCAAGCAGAGGGATGGGATCCAGGTTGGGAACTCATCTCCTTTGACTCAGGCTACAGAGGAGCTTTCTCTCCCCACTCTATAGCCTCCCTAAGTAGGAAGAGCAAAACTGAGGCTCAAGGGCTCTCCTGAACTCCACCACCAAGCCCAGGGTCACCCTTGGGCCTCTCTGGTCTCTCCTTCCCTTTCAGATTCAGATTCTAGGTAGCTCAGTGCCCACAGGTGCCAGTCAGGCACTCCCATGGAGAATGTCTCTTAGATTACCTCCTCCCATCACCATGGATGGGTGGCAGGGTCCCCGTTTTCTGATGAGAAATACATGGGTCTGAGTGTGACACGGTGATTAAAGTAAAGCTATACTTGAGCCAGGATTCCTGGTCCCAAAATGCTGTCCCTCCCACACGCAGCCTTTCCTTCCCACAGAAAGTAGCTTTCTTCACCTGCCTCTCAGAGGCTGAAGAGTGGAGTCATTCTTCCCATCTCAAAGCAATAAAAGAGAAATGTGGGGGTTCCTCTCCTGAAACTGACCAAACAGCTAACCATCTCAGGGCAGTCATCTCTACAGTGATGAACCAATTAAAGAAAGGAAAATAGAATGCTGTTTACCTTGAGTGTTGAGAACCATTCAACGAGAACGGATTGTTTTCACTAGATCTTCAGAGACTGTTTTAACTGCTGTGAAGAGTTTACTGTTCAAAACTTCAATCTGAATGAAGCCCAGGAAAGATCTCTCTGAATCTAGAAGATTGTTGGCTCTGACTCTAGGTCCAGTGCCATCTTTGCATATGCTGCAGTGACCATCTCTCCTGAGTGGTCACCAGGCCCACTGATCAGCCCAGACTTCAAAGAACCAACTAATGATCTAGACCTGCCCTGTTTGAGAAGTGCCTGATTCTTCTCTCCAGGGCCTGGATCTGCCACCTGAGGCGTCTTCCAAGCCATGAGACACAAACAGCATGGGTTCCACCCAGGAAGGCTTTGGGGTTGGCACGAAGAACACACTCAGAATCGCCCTGTGCCATTCGGCAACATGTGGAAGTTCTTGTGGCTTAGGGGTAGCCCTGTCTTCGGCCATCCCTTTGCTCTGTGTCAAGTTGCCCAGACCCTGGCACCTGGCAGATCAAACCTCTGACCTCACAGGGGAACAGTCAAAAGACGTTCTGGAGGTCAGAGCCATCCTGCCCAGGCCCTCTCTCTGGGCTCACACTTCCCTCATCGTTCCCCTGGCCAGAAGTAAGACCCGCATCCCAGTAGGACCCCTGTGATTGTTGTCCCTACCCCAACACGGCCGCTTGCAGGTCAGGCGGCTGAGCACCGAGCAGGGGCTTGCTCGGCAGAGCCTTACCCAGAGTGCAGTATTACTTCATGATACATGGAATGCATTTATAACTGTAATCCTCATTACCCACCCTCTCTACTCCCACGGACCTCCTGCCCCTTCTTCTGCTTGTCACCTGACTTGTGAGACCTGGGTCTCAGGGTTTACCGAATGGAAATCTAGAGCCGTTTTCTCTCAGAGGAGCAACGTGTGTGATGGGGCTTCAGGGGCCCCGAGGCCCCTTCCCACGTGCCTTCCAAAAACGGTATTACCTGTCTGTATCATCTTTCCTCCTGTCGTGTATCTGCACACACACAAATGTACTGGGAAGAAAATTTATCACGTCCTTGTAAACATGTTCTCTGAAAAGATCTAAAATATTTAACAAAAGATAATAATAAAGTTGATGCCAGTCTTTGAGTTACAACAGTGGATTCTAAGTCCAAGCTTTCTGTGAAAATTGAGTTATATGCCTTCCTTTCCCCATATTACCAGCCCCAGGAAGCCACGGAACAAAGAGACGTGGTTTCCCTGGAGTGGGCGATTGAGCCTGGGTTCCCAGGCTATCCTCCAGTTAGGTGTGCAGGCCCCAAAGGCGCCAGCAGAGGGCGCCAGACAGACGCCAGGATACTACGTTCCGCTCCAATGCGAGCGCTTCTGGACCCAACGCTGTGACCAGTCTCCTTTGACATAGCCTTGATCTGGCTGCAGACGCATGCTCTTAATACCTGCTTTATCCATAAACCAACAAGGCACTTGGTCCTCACCTACAATGCTGCCTTGGGCCCTGGATACCGATGCTGCCAGCTCCCGATAGTCTCCCCTCCGCCCACTGAGCCGAGCTGGTAGCTCCCATCACTACATTCACGGACAGGAAGACAGAAGCCCGGAGAAGGCAAATGACGAGCCTGAGGTCATTTAGCAGGTTTAGTGCTTGCCTGTATTCAGGTTAGGGAAGTCGGAGCTAGACGCTTAGCTCACTGCTTTCTCGGTATAGGAACTTAAGCGCGAAGCAGCGTGGCGCCACTGCGCTTTGCACGCGGCTTTGGAAAAAACACATCTCCCTTCGGAAGTAATGGGTAGGGGCTTTCCTGCACAAGTGAGTGGCAGTCGTGGTGATGACCAAAGATTTTAGGCCTGATACAGGCCATCTGGGCTCAGGAGCTCAAAGAGGGAAATCAAGAGATGACCACAGGGTGGTCGGACAGATCCATCCGGGTGTGGGTGGTGATCACAGTGCAATGTGGCTCCTCACCTGAAAGTAGGAAGGATCCCAGCCAGGGTGTCATGAGTCAGAGGTGACTACCTGGTGGGCAGGTTGTGTGGCTAAAGCCTAGATCTGGGCAAGTTCTCCCAGGCTGGTCAGGCTCTGCCTCTGTGACTTGGGGTTTGCCTGCTCTGTGCCAACCTTAGCTGTCCAAGAGTTTATTTTCAACTCTAGTGGGAAGGTCTCTGAGTGGTGCAAACGGTTCTCTCAACTATTAACCTAACACGTAGCAAGTTCAAGTCCATCAAGGGCTCAGTCAGCGCAAGACAGGCTTAATGATCTGCTTCCTTAAAGATTAAATCAAGAAAGCCCTATGGAGCAGTTCTACTCTGTAGCATGTTGGGTTGTTCTGAGTCAATCAACTTTTTGTCCCCACAAAGGCAACTGTTGGTAATGGGTTTGTTGTTGGTTTTGCTTCTATAATAAATCTAAATGAGAATTTTAAAAAGACTCATATTGGGTTTGGACATTTCACTCGGACCATATAATGAATTGAATTAGGCCAGTGACCCTGGTTGTATGTGGGCCTCAACTTTGCTGAGTTGAAATCCAGTCAGGAAATCCCCATGTCCTTAGGCCTTTACTGGTCACCAAGCCCTTTAGACTTAAGGCCAGTGGGTGCAGTGTGCCCTCCTGTGGTGGGAACAAGTACTTCGATCTACCCCCACCCTCTGCCCAGTGTGCCTATAAATTAGGACATGTTAGGCAGATGCCAGTTGGCTCTCATTGCCCCTGTGGTTTTGTAAATTCACTGGCAATACTCAAGGTTGCAACATTAGTACTAACAAAAAGGATATAAACAAAGAAACCCATAGGGAGAGTTTTGAGGGGGATCTCAGCACAGAGCTTCTATGTTTCTGAAATAACCCTAGCCAGTGCATGGTCACCAACCAGGAAGCTTCATCAGAGATTTAGGGCTCAGGACTCTTAACAGGCCTTAAATATATGGTTATGCTAGATTGCATTATGCCTTATGAGGGTTAGTCATCATCAGACCCCTAAGTGAGCCCTTTTGGTCTGGTCATCTCCATCCATTAACTTCAGATATTGACCTGGCTTGAAAAATTAAGGGGTAAAAAGGTCAAATGACTTTCTGCAAGGAAATTCCTCATCTTACAGATATCAAGGAGGGGGAGGAATCTTTTCCCTAAGTTGTTTTTGTTATGGATTAAATTGTGTCCCCCAAAAGATATATTGAAGTCCTAACTCCTGTACCTGTGAGTGTGAACTGGTTTGGAAATAAGAGGCATTCTTTTGCTGTGGGTGGTGGGGTTATGTGCCACCAAATCTGTTCCAACTGATAGCAATAATTTAAATAAATTTAAATAAATTAAATGAGGTTATATCAGAATAGAGTGAGTCTTACTCCTAATCCCTTCTTCTAAAACAGAAGGCGAGACACAGAAACAGTCATACACAAGGGGAAGACAGTATGTGAGGATAGATCTACAAGTCAAGACATGGCTGCCAGAAGCTGAAGGAGACAAGGAAAAATCCCCCTAGAGTCATGTGAAATGGAAGGAGTAACAGTAACGTCATCAGAACATGTCTCACTTCAGGGGAGATAATAACCGAATCAGCCCAATGCTATTTCTGTCAAGTGGAAGTCAGACATACCTCCACTCTCCAACTTCCCTTTTTTTTTTGCCATTTCTGACCTTAGCCATCCCTCTCAAGGTATTCTCTACTTCTCTAATTGATTTGATAATCTGTTGCAAGGGTCACACGCAACTCACAGACTATACTTCAGTTAAGGTTTGTTAGGTTTGTTGAGTGGTTTACTGAGAAACAGGGTGCAACTCAGGATCCACTTCCATATCATACAGCTGAGAAATCAGGGTCAGGAAGCCTGTAGGTCATTTCTCTTCTTCAGCACAGGACAACTCTCTGCTCATTTTAGTCCCCTGAGACAGGCTCTTCTCACCCCTGCTATCTGTCACCAGTGGATTCCATAGCAGGGCTCTTTCTGGACCTGTCAGCGTCTTCAGTGTAAAGCCATGACCTGTTTTCCTCACCTGCTCTCTCTCTGCTTTTTCTCTCTTGTTTCTTCCTTTTGGTTTTTCCTGCTGCTTCTCTTCCTACTTCTTTCTATCTCTACCTCTATGGGGTTGGCTGTTTAAAGCCACAAAAGCTTGGTATACATAGTAGACTGTAACCTGCTGATGCCCAATTAAAAACATGTAACCTCCAAAACTGGAAGACAATAAATTTCTATTCTCCAATCCCCCTACTTTGTGGTATTTTGTTTTAGCAGTCCTAGACCAAAAAGGAGCTCTGGTAGTGCAGGGGTTATGAGTCAGCTGCTAGTGTCAATATCAGCAGTTCAAAACTACCAGAGGTTCCAA